GAAGAAGAAGAAGAAGAAGAAAGAAAGAAAGAAAGAAAGAAAGAAAGAAAGAAAGAAAGAAAGAAAGAAAGAAAGAAAGAAAGAAAGAAAGAAATTGCTTTTAGATGTGTCTAAAGTTTAGGAAATGTAAATAGTTCTATTAAGAGTTTGCTTCTGGATGTAAGTTTGTGAGAATTGTAATTGTGTATAATAATATTCATACTATAACTATGATGTTAACCTGTTAATGTTAATGAGCCATTGTATGTTGATTCCAAGGAGTCAGGAGTTTACTCATTTATTTTATGTGGTTGCATCATGAGTTTATTGATTTAAAAAGGCTTGAGGCAGCTAAAGCTACTATAGTCACCTTAGACCCATTTAAAAGGGCCATTCAATCTTGATCAACCTCTACTCCCTTACTAGGAGGTACAGCAGCCATAATGAGTAAGTGTATAGCTATGATTATTCCAGCTACTTGCAAGCTCTTAGTGGAAAGCTGGTTCTGAGCTGCATAGAGTTAAGCTCTGAACCCTCACTGAGATCTTTATGTTATAAAGAAGGGGGAATTTGTGTTGGCCCACAGAGGCTCCCTAGTAAGGCCTTATTCAAGGCCAGATAATCTGAGCTTGCTTTGTCCAGCAGGGCTGCATAATAGATGATTTGGTCAAAGGCATGGGTATTTTTAGGGGTCTACACTTGTTGGTACTTTATACCTCATCCTTGGAAGGGGAGGTCTATTGCCCCTCCCCTTGGTGATGTATAAAAGGCCCATTATGAATAAAGTCTGGGTGACTGAGTATTCACCCAGGGCCCTACGAAGCTATCCTGTGTCTCTGTCTTTCTCTCCATCTCCATCTATGTTTGTATCTAATACTTCCTCATTCCTCTCATACTAAGAAACATTCCACAGGTCGGAGCTGGTCTCTAATTGATAATATAACAGAAACGAGAGGCCTTGGACCATACCAATGACTCATCACAATGAACCCTTCAAGTAGAGATGTTTAAACTAAAGAGTACACCGTGTCACTTACTGTGTCTCACTACAGCTTTCCATGACAAGATTTTTCTTTTTGTTCTTCTTTTCCCTTAAATTTTACTTCATTTTTGGGGGGTAGGCAGTTACAGGGGTAGAGGGTACAGATGCTAGGGGATGGGGAGATGAATGGCATGGTAGTTTGAATGTAATTGGTCCCCATAAACTCATAGGGAGTGGCACTATTAGAAGGTATGGCTTTGTTGGAGTAGCTACAGCCTTGTTGGAGGAAGTGTGTCACTGTGGAGGTGGGCTTTGAGATCTCATATATGCTTAAGCCATGCCCAGTGTCTCAGACCATTTCATATGTCTGTGGGATCAAGATGTAACTCCTCCGCTCTCAGCTCCTTTTCCAGCACCATGTCTACCTGTACACTGCCATGTACCACCATGATAAAAATGAACTAAACCTCTGAAACTATAAGCCAGCCCCAATTAAATACTTTATTTTATAAGAGTTGCCATGGCCAGAATGTCTCTTCATAGCAATAGAAACCCCAAGACAAATGTGATTGAGATGCATGGTGTGAAAGCCACAATCAGTGAAAAGTTTTTTTTTTTTTAAAAGAGCACTGGGAAGGCTCCTGTGATAGCTGAATCTAGGGCTGAGAGAGAAGCTTTAACTGTTAAAGAGATTAGCACTAAGTAGAGGCCTACTTTGCACTGGGACAATGGAAAAAACTCCACCCAGCTAAGCTTCCAACTTGGGAAATAGAAGTATGGGTTTTCTGCTGACCTGAAGCCGCAGAATGAAGATGCTGCTGCAAATGTGCTTGTCCTGAATGTGCTCACTTCTGCACCAATTTAAAAAAGACAAGGATAATTTGCTATATTTAGCAGTCTTAGCAATGATTTGTTTTCAGGGCCTGAAATATAGTATTGCCGGCCTTTGTTGTATTTGTTGGGAGGTTTGATCTTACTCTGGGTGTTTGCCTTTGTGGGTGGCCTGATAGCTTTCTCTTCTCACTTTTAATGGCACTTCTAATTTTTTTCTTGGTTTTATATTTCTATCATCTTAACTATAATGTAGCATGAAGAAGTTCTTCTATGGCCATGTCTAGTTGGAGTTTTAAATACCTCTTTTGTATGGATATTGATTTTCTTACCTGGATTTGGGAAATTTTTTACTATAATTTTGATAGGTTTTGTATACCTTAAGTCTTGATAACTGGATATTCTATTCTATTTCCTAGGTTTGATCTCTTTTTCACATACTAAGGTTCTTAGAAAATGTGGCCACACTCCTTCATTTATTAATTGTTCTTAGTTGGTACCTGAATATAGAATATGTTGTCTTGTCCTCCATCCTGGAGAGATTTTCTTGTTAATTGTCGAGTCCATCGATGTCACTTTCCACTGCATTTTTATTTGATTTACTGAATCATTTCCAACATTTTATTATTTTTCAAATATCAGATCTTTGCTTTTGCATCCATGTGGCTTTCCTTTTCCAGGTTCTTACTTCATCCATCTGCTTCTTTCTGATCATCTATTAAGATACTGGTCACCTTTACAAGTGAAATTTTGAATTTTCATCTGCCATTTTATTCATTCCAGTACCTTTGGACTCACTCATTGAAGAGCAATGATCTTATGGAAGAGTCATGCTGCCTGGCTTTTTATCATTGTTGTATTTCTGTGTGTCCTTTGGACATCTCTTAATGCTTTCCATGGTTATCTTCTGATCTCAGACTCAATCCTCAGTATACCTATAGAGGAGAAAACAAACTGCTCTAACAGCAGCAATACCAAAGCAAACAAGATGTAAAAATATACTTAAATTCACACTAATAAACAATTATTCATCAAAGCTCCTTAAATACACCACAAAATGCCCTAAAAGAGAAAATGTCAAAGCTATGTATGTACTGCAAAATTAAATATTAAGGTAAATGCAGAATTAGTAAATGAATGACATAAATGATGGAGACAGAGAAGGGGGACAAATAGAGAAGTTAGGCAGAAGACAGGAAAAAGAAGAATAATTGTAAAGAAAGAGCACACCAAGTGCTTATTCAACACTAGAAGGTCAGCTATGAAACCAATCACATACAAGTGATATTACATGGACTCAGTGGGGTGTGTTTATATATTTAGGAATACACAGACAGAGAGACAGACAGACAAACACACACACACACACACACACACACACACACACACACACACACTACCACCACCACTATCACAACAACAACAACAATAGTTAAGGAGAAGAGGTCATGAATTTGAAAGAGTGGAGTCTACATGGGAGGGATTGGAAGGTATAATGGGCAGGGGAAAATGTTTGTTTGTTCTTGCTCTTTTAGGGGACCTGCCACCCAGCTCCCAAATAAATCTCACATGGAGGTCTATTCTTAATTATACATCCCAGTCTTAGCTTGCCTTGTTTCTTGCTAGCTTTTCTTAAATTAACCTGTCTACCTTTTGCCTCAGGCTTTTCCTGCTCTCTTACTTCTATAAATCTTACTGTTACTCCCTGGCTTGAACTTGTAGCTGGGTGGCTGGCCCCTGGAGTCCTCTTCCTTCTCTGGCAACTTTTCCTTTCTCCCAGATTTTTCCTTTTATATATTCACTCTGCCTGCCAGCCCTACCTATCCTTTCTCCTGCCTTGCTATTGGCCGTTCAGCTCTTTATTAGACTGTCAGGTTTTAGACAGGCAAAGTAACACAGCTTCACAGAGTTAAACAAATGTAACATAAACAAAAGTAACACACCTTAAAATAATATTTTACAACATCTCCCCTTTTTTCCAAAGAAAAATGGGAGGTTTTGACTTTAACATAGTAAGACTGTATACAATAAGGCCAATTATCAAGTAAAGATTACATTCACAATGTACTGAATTCCAATTCATTTGTGTCTGGTAAATTTAAAGAAAATATCCCATAATCTATCCTATTTTAGTAAATCCCAATTTTATACCTAATTTACTTTCTATCATATCTGAGGAAAACTGCAACTATAACTATCTAGTCTTTATCAAAGACCCCAAAAGATTATTTTATTTAAGTAAACAAAAAGTGCATTGCAAAAAACTTCCAAAAACTCTAGAAATGACTGCTGTGGGATGTTAATGTATGTCCTGTGGGAGCCCTTCTTGGGTTCCTTGTGGTGTTACCCAGCAGGTTTGCATAGAGGATGATTAGGACCATGGGCCTGAGTGCAGGTGTCTGAGATGGTCTGCACTTGGCTGTACTGGGGGATGGTCTGTATGTCAAGTTGCTCTGATTGGTCAATAAATAAAACCTGATTGGTCATGGCTAGGCAGGAAGTATAGGCGGGACTAACAGAGGAGATATAAAAGAACAGGAAGGCAGAAGGAGACGCTGCCAGCCACTGCCAGGACAAGCAGCATGTGAAGATGCTGGTAAGCCATGAGCCACGTGGCAAGGTATAGATTTGTAGAAATGCGTTACTTTAAGATATAAGAACAGTTAACAAGAAGCCTGCCACGGACATACAGTTTGTAAGCAATATAAGTCTCTGTGTTTACTTGGTTGGGTCTGAGCGGCTGTGGGACTGGCGGGTGACAGAGATTTGTTCTGACTGTGGGCAAGGCAGGAAAACTCTAGCTACAAATGACAGAGACATCTGACTGCCTGGACAGTCACCCAAAGTTCCTCTGCAACATTGGGACATCCATCTTCAGCCTACAGGTCCATAGTATCTGGCAAACTTTTCAATGAAGCAGGAAATTTGAAAGACTGTCCAACCTATATTGGCACCATTTGTCAGTCACTTTCCTCTGTGTCCTGCAGAATGTCTGACAGTTTCTTCTCTGAAGCAGGAATCCTAAAGGACCATCCTACCTTGTTTTATTAAAATTCAGCAGTCAATCAGTCCAGGCAAGAGCAGCTTCTTGCCCAAATGGCTAGCCTTGCCACATTGAAAACAAACTCTATGAGGAGTTTCTTCAGTGCCCATCATATCTGAAGTAAATTGGTGCTGCCAGGAGCAGATGTGTCTCATTGTCATGAAAAACCCCATGTTAACAAAATGTTTTAAATGCCATATAGTCTGTAGGTCTTTAAAAGGTTTAAAGACCACCTGTCTATCTAAAATACATCTCAACTTGATCTGGAAAGCATACCTAACTTATCTACAAATTTGATTGTTATAAATGACTAACTACTAACCTATGTTTCTTGATTATCCTACATCGTTTATAATAATAGCTTTTAAAAACTAGAATTTCACCCTACATTTCCAAATGAACTGCACAGGCACAATACCTCAAACAAACATAGAAACATACATACAGTATGCTGTAACAAATATAACCTTAAGTTTTTATCAATATACAAAAGTCCTTTAAATAAGAGTAGAAACACATATACAGTGTAACAAAAATAACTTTAAATTTGTATCAATATTCTACATTCCCCTAAATGATAACAAAGATTCATAAACCATGAAATAATCAAAATCCTCCCACACCCCTCTTGGAAATGTGGACATTGTTTTCTCCAAACTGCTTCCTGATGTCTGTAGATGAAGTATCTCCAGGGTCCTTGAGAATACTTTGAGATAACAAACAAGTCCTGGGAAGACCAGCTATATTCTTTTTTTTATATATATATCACCTGTCAAGACTCAGGAGGTCTCTCCTGATCAAACCTGATCCACATTAACCTTGAAGGAATCCACAGCCTCTCATCCCCTGTAGGAACAAAACTCAAAAGCATTTTTGATTTCCATTTGGCAAATATATTTTTGGCTTCTTTTTTAAAGTTAAGATAGACCCAAAGTATCTAGGTTGGTTCAATTTTGCAGTCCTGTTCACAATCCCACATCTGTCAGCACCTGTTGTTTGCTCAACAACATTTAAAAAAAAATCAAAATCAATATAACACACAGGATCCAGACTCCTTGTGTATTTCTCATCTCTACATGGCTTATACTTTTTTATTATTTTATGTCTCTTTAAAGACTTCACTATTTTTAAATTATTTTTTTCTATAACTGTACATACCTTTTTTATTTCTTAAGCCTATTCACATTGTAAAACACACTGTAACTATTTAAAGGTTTGTGTTTTGTTTTGTTTTGTTTTTTTTCATCTGGACCTCTTTTACTGCATATCTTTTAGCTTTTTTGACCTCATGAACAAACTTTAAACTGCTAAGTGGACCTCTGCCTGGGGCTTTGGTGGCTGGCTGTGCCCACTTCTCGGGTTATGAATGTCAAGCCTAAAGTGTGTTGCTCTGTCAGAGGTTTATCCTCAAAACTGCATTTAACCTTCCTAGAGCTCTAAAATGCTGATGCTTGTGCTGTGGCAGACTTTTTTACTTGTTTTTCTTGTTGTTGTTGTTGCTGCTGCTGCTGTTCCTGTTTAACATACTGACTGCTCACTGGCTTATCAGCAGCCATATCCTCTTTTTTTTTTTTTTCTCAGCTTTTTTAAGCCCTATGTGGAAATTCAGCCTATGTTGGAACACCAAAATGTTGTTTGTTTTTGCTTTGGGGGTGGGGAGAACCCGCCATCCAGCTCCCAAATAAATTACACATAGAGATTTAGTCTTAATTATAAATGCTTGGCCTTAGCTTGGTTTGTTTCTTGCCAACTTTCCTTGACTTTATCCCATATACCTTTTGCCTCAGGGCTTTCCCCTTCTCTTAGTTCTGTAAATCTTGTTCTTACTCCCTGGATTTCTGTGTAGCTGGGTAGCTGGCCACCGGGAGTCCTCCTCCTTCTCTAGCTACTTCTTCTCCCTTCTCCCAGATTTTTCCTTCTTTATATTCTCCCTGCCTGCTAGCCCTGCCTATTCTTTCTCCTGCCCTGCTATTGGCCATTCAGTTCTTTATTAGACCACCAGGTGTTTTAGACAGGCAAAGTAACACAGCTTCACAGAGTTAAACAAATGCAACATAAACAAAAGTAACACACCTTAAAATAATATTCCCCAACAGGAAAATGATGTAATCATCTAATATCAAAGAGCAGAAAATATAATAAAAAAGAATGAACACGACATGCAGAAACAGATTGAACAATAATGAAGAAATGTATGAGCCAAATGTATGAGTAACGAAATTGGGCATGCCCTTAAAAATGAAAGTGAAGTCTTATGCCAGATGTGGGGCTCCATATTTGTAACCCCAGCACTCTAGATGTGGAGGCAGGAGGACTAAGAGTTCAAGGAAGGTCACCATCAGCTACATAGCAAGCCTGGGCTTCATGAGATCTTGTCTAAAAAACAAAACAAACCAAAACTTATGTCAGAATTCTATTACACGCACAGTTGAAAGTGGAGAATAAATGCAACATTTGGGAGAGGTTTCTTCCCGAGTCCACTAAGATTGGAGCCAACAAGTAAACAGAGGATTGGCGTGGAGCGGGTGTCTGAGTGGGTATGTCTGTAGCTCTGTGGTTTAGGGCTGGTACTAGCCTGACTGTGCAAAGGCTAGTCATCTACCAGAGCTGTCTTCACTTCAAGGCAATCAGACCCCACAGTCTTTATCAGGAGATGATGCCAACTCCCAGAGGACAAGGCTACTTCTCACTCTACACTCCCCTTTCTGGCCACCCTCCTGCTAAGGTGTGTCAACACTGGGTCCTAGCACTGCCACTTTTCTCAGACCTCAAGGTAACTTGGTCATTTGCTTTCAGGGTGATTAGCCACAACATTCCAAGTCCTGGGAGTGACAAAATGCCACTCATGCCCATTGCCTGAAGATCAGGCCAAAGAAACCGCTGTCTTCCCAGAAGCCCCAGGGAGACCCAGGCTGTAGAGAGCTGTGGGTGTGTGCACCTGGTAGAGCTGCTGACTGTTGCCACCAGGGAGGCCAGACTTATCTTCAGTGGGAACCTTCTGTTTCTTCCAGCGCTCCTGAAGCCGCATGCTGCTCATTAGCTGAACTGCCCTTCTGTTTCTCGGCACTTTCAACTGCCCCATCATTCCCTTTGGGGCTCCTGGTGCTGCACTACATTCCCCTTGGAGTAGGGCAGTTCTGTTATCCTGACTCATGGTCCACTGCATTACACGGGGCAGGGCATAGCTGCCCCGGCATTCCATAACTGGCTGTGTCCCAGAGCTGCCCCTGTATCCTAGAACTGTCCCTATATTCCCGAACTACACCTATATTCCAGAACCTCCCCCATATTCCAGAACTATACTCATACTCCAGAACTGCCTCCATACTATGTCCATATGCCAGAACTGCCCCTGTATCCCAGAACTGCCCCTGTATCCCAGAACTGCCCCATATTCTAGAACTGTCCCATATTCTAGAACTTTCCCCATATCCCAGAACTGCCCTGGTATCCCAGAATTGCCCCCATATCCCAGAACTGGCCCTGTATTCCAGAACTGCCCCTCGATCCCCTTTCCTCTATCTTCTAGAGTTTATGAAGTCATCGATCCTTTTTATCAAAAAGTATTGATTAACCCCGACACCTGCCAAGAGTTCTTCACTTGTGAAAAAAAGGGGGAGTCGATACCAGTGCTTTAAATAATTTTTAAACAAAAAAAAATAAATCTTGAATAGTTTATTATCTTAGTGGCAAACACACCCCTACACATAAGTGAACAAACACACACAGACATTCCATATCTGTCATACTTTGTTCTAATTTTCCAACTGTTTTCTCCCAGCACAGTACCCCCTCTTATTGTGGTTCATTCTTCATTTCACTCATAGATCCATTGGAATTTCCTAAAGTACTCTAAACAAACTAGATCAACACCTATGACTCATCTACTAGATCACCGAGCCTTTATTAAATTCAACTTCAGTAAAGTAGGAGAAGAAGTTATATTGAAACAGAAATAAACAGGGATGGGTGTTTCCCTAAGTAATCACAGGATTTTAGAAGCAGAGTAAAGACTGAAAGTTTAAGGTCATCTGGACGGTATAGTAAGACCTTGCCTAAAAATACAAACATAAGAAGCACAATCAAATTTCATATTCTTCCATATCACATTACCACAACCACAGTACACATATATAAGACACATGAATGTCAACAAAACTAGAATGAATATAAATAAAAGTTAATTTTCAATTCAAGTGGATTTGTATTATTATGAAATCCTATATGGATGCTCCTGTATGGTGGAGGATATTGCCTATTGCTGAATGAGGATACTTCTCTTCTCCATTAGGTGGCAGCAAAGTTCTTTCATATTGTAAAGTTTCAAACCTTTCATCTTCAAAAGTTGGTTACACCTCTCAGAAAAATGATGTTTCAGAGAAGGATCGATTGTTCCTTCTCAGGGAAAGGGACTCCATGAACACTGAGATTAGTGATGCATCGAGTTTAAAGGCTTGTTAGATAGTAGAGGAGACCACCTTCCAATTTTCAAAAAAGCAAGCAGTGTTATTTTAATTTTTAAACCCAGTTTTAAGAACATGAGGACGCCGCCTTCCCCTTCTTTCTCATCAGTCCTTGTCATCTGAGGAACCCTCCTGGTCACAGAATTTATCCCTACCTAGAAATCCAAACTCCTAAATCACCATATCATTCGAATCACTCCAGTTGTCTTAAAGTGCATAGATCAATTCCTTTCATCTCCAATTTGAAGAGGGTCCTAAAATTCCCGTGTCCTATTTAACCAATATCCTCAGGTGTGGCAGGAAGGAGTCCAAATAGGGACCGAGTCTTCCCTACGGGAGATGTCCTACAGCAATTGCAGTCTGGGAACCTCCTCCTTCACGATAAGGACTCCTGCTGGAAGGGTGGACACAGCAGCGTGCTTCCCCATTCTGTGGTAGGTACTGTAGGTAAGTCCTAGACCAACATGCCCTTCCACTCTGAATGGCGATGTCGCCAACATTTCCCTCTTTATGAAACCCCAAGAGAACTCATGCCATGGATAAATCTCTGACATCAAACTCTGTATCCAAACCCCTTCCTCCTCAGCACCACGCTCCCACTTTCCCACCTTCCAAGTCCCTCCTAGCCTTTAAACTAAGTAAAACACTGACATGTCCCACAAAAGGGAAGGTCAGTGTTCTCCCTTCCCGGTATTTTCTTCCTGGTTTCACTAATCTGTATCATGAGCTTTAAACCTTCTGATCTTTATTCTTCCTGATAATCATTGTCATAGTGGTGAATTCTGTGCCTACTTTTTTTTTATTTTATCAAACTAAATGGAACATAGATTTCACACAATAAAGTGCTCTCATTTTAAGGTTCCAATATGGTGAACTTTGGCAAATGTGTTTATGGGAGTTCTGTCCTTATCAAGACACCGAACATGTCTACCACTTACCTGCCAAGTGAGCCCCAAGTTGAGCAAAACAAAGTGCCTTGCATCCTTCTATGAGGTCACCCTGGAAGGATAAGAACACAGACACTCCCCTTGAATGTCACACTGGGGTAAACCTGGAAGAGATCCTCTTATAGGACGAATGAACTCCCATGATTGCCAAATAGGTTCCAGGCCTCCCCAAGCTTAGCTGACTTCCTGCATGTGTCATAGTGGAGCAAAGGCATCGACATAACAGTAACAGTCACTGTGTGGTTGTGCTAAGATGACAACAGAGGAGGGTTTTTCTAGCTTGCTAGTTTTCCCAAAATTTAAATCATATATTCGTGTTGCTTTTAATATGAAAAATCTCATATTAAATACTAAAATATTTTTAACATTTTAACATATTTTAAATTTATATACAGCTTCACAGCTAACTGGGCAATATTTTTATGTTTTCTCAACTTCTAACAGACAATCTTCTCCATCTTTCAATATCTCATCCCTACTGTAAACAAGGATCATCACTACGAAGTTTTCATTTGAACATGCTGAGTTCTAAAGCAAGGAATCGGAAATACAGACATGAGGCTCACTAGAGAGAAACAATGATGAAAAGTTGCTTTGGTGAATGGATATGACATTTAGAGCGTGTCTGTAAGAAGAACATTGGCTGTGAAGATGAGAGAATAACCTTTAAGGAAATGTGACTGGAGAATTTAGGGTCCCCTCTCAGCATTTTCATAATAGAAGGAAACTAGAGGAACATTTTATTAGCTGTAAATCTTGTCAGTTGCCTAAAGGAGGAAGATGGAGAAAAGAGAGAAACACCCATGACATTGAGTTAGTTGTGGACATTTGTCAATCAGCCACATGGCTAAAGGGATGTAGCTTCAGAGAGTGAAAGGCCCAAAGTATTGAAGAAAGCTGAAAGAAAGAGACAGACAAAGAGAAAACGGTGTGTGTTTTTGAGTCAGGATTTGGAAATGTGGGCAGACATGGGTCTCGTGGCAATCCTGTAAAGACTAATAGAAGGCTGGGATTCTGGGAAAGAAATTTATATTATCTTATTAAAGTAATAATTTCTCCAATTTCTTCAGCATGGCTATAGAAAAATCAGCTTTTCTGAGGGGTGGTACTTTGGCTAAGTGATTAACAGGCCTAGCTGGATTAACTCCTCTCAGGATTGGAGGCTTATGATTGGAATGCTAGGTCTCCACTGAAGGCCAGTGGTAGATTCCGTTTGGTTTTTTGTTTTTTTTTTGTTTGTTTGTTTTGTTTTTTGGGGGGTTTTTTTTTGTGACAAGGAAAAATTAGCCCTTTGGAACTCAACAAAGCCTGGATAGAGGGTACTAAAACACCTTCCCCCTTTGAAGGGGTAGCTGTAGCATCCCTTAGGAGATAGGATGGAAAATGGAGAATAAGTGTAATCCATTTCCATCGTGAACACCCAGATATCCAGTTCCAAAGCTGTTCACCAGAAGGGCTGAGCGACTGGCGTGGAGTTTCAATTCACTCTCGTATTCTGCCACCAGGCAGGACTGCTCGTTTGGGAGCCTAAAAGAAACCAGAGCTCCCTTCTGGCACTCCTGGCCGGAGAACTAAGACCATTCTTGGAACTGTTGAGCTTGGGGTCCCTACAGTAGCTGCCTCTACAGTTTCTGTCTCCTGTCCTCATCAGAAAGACAATGCTCCCAAAGACAGAAAAAAAGAACAGGATGGAAAGGTCAGAAATGTGAGTAGAGGTGGGAGAGGAGGAGGGAGAGGATGCCTTTCACTGGCATCGGGACTCTATCTTCAACTGTGTGGCAGTCTGTCTTTACTTCACATCGCCACCAGGAGTCTTCACCCACTATCTGCCAGGCAGCGCCCCCTGAGAGCTTTTCCAGCTGTGACTCCTGTTGAACTGTGTGACTGCATCGGTTGATTTGGGTGTCTGCTGCTTGAGAATGAGTTGAGGTTTGCGTG